TTGCTTTCTTTTTCTTAACTTATTATATTCTAAAAAGAAAGCTTACATCTCTGGTAAATGAGAAAAACAATTTTACTTGCCATAAATGACAATCAATCATGAAAATGGAGCAATTAATAAAAATGCTATTAGGCCCCAGCAAGCTCATGTACCTTGCTCAGGGTTGTGAGTCACAGACTGCTTCAGTTGTTGAAAAATTAATGACGGAAGCATTAGAGACTCAGTAGTGAACCAAAGCTTTCTCCTGCAACAATCAAGAGGGAAAGTGAAAAGAAGAAAGAACCAACTTTCTCAGGGTGTCCACTCACGCCATTTGATGTATCTGTGCATCTGCTAAAATCATCTCCCAGACCGGGGAGGAGCTTGGCCCAGGTCTTAGGAAGCAAAGGTTGATTGCGAAGTCATCAGGAAAATTCTAACCTGAACTGAGTTGCTCTCTTCTGATCACCAACAACACATCGCCAAATCTGCAGTAATGAGGGAGAGGAAGCTGTTTTCCCTAACCAGGTTGGGCCCCCTTCATCATCACCTTAGCTCATAGATATTCTGTAATTGTGTGTGTATGGCCCACATAGCGGGCAACATGCTGTCTCTATTACATGCCTGTCACGCAAGTCTCCATGGATTATTAATGTACTTGTGTCCCCATACTTGCTATGGTGTGTCAACACCTCACTTCTATTTCTCAGACCCTTGATGTACTAGTTGCATGTACCTCTTACCTGTCACACACCTTGTGTTGTGCCTGTAGCATACGCATATTGAAGTTGCGTTGGAGTATCAGTAGCCCACATCTATCACTCTGTGTCCATAGGGTGTATGTAAAGTGTCTCCACAATGTGCTAAAGTGTGTTACTATCACACACCTGTCACACAGGTTACCCTGGATATGCATGTGTATTTCTCCAGGCTGAGGTGCAGTGTCCTCACTGCAAGCCCCATCACATCTGATACCTGAATGTGTTTCCAGGTTGTGACACTGAAACCCCTTTTCTAACATTAATAAAATATCACAAGGTTAGAATTGTAACAAGGGCCCAAATTTTGTTAAGATGTAAACCATAAGATATCTATTATACTTATGTTTTTTTCTCCCTCCATGCATATCCTAGCACCCAGGGCTGCCTGCAATATTAACAAACTTGTTTTTCTCTTGAACAATGGACTGTAGGTCATGCCAACCTTCTTTATGGTATGCAAATGTTTAATTGGCGGAAATCATCAGGGATTCCTGCTCCCATAACCTTTATTCACAATATTTGTAGCTTCCCCAATTGCTCCTATAGATAACAAAAATCTAAGACTGGGTTTGAGATATTTTTCAGACACAGCATTCTGGTAGACCATCCGACACCAAGTGGACCAGTAACCTATGAACCCTACCCAGAAACCGACAGGAAGCATGAAGACAACCTTGACCCCTGTGTGATTTCATCCCCACTCAATGAACAGTCTCAATTTGCTAGCCCACTGCTCATCAAATTACCCTTAAAAGTCCTAGCCTCTTGGTCCTCAGGGATTAAATTTGAGAAATATCTCCTATCCTCTTTACTCAGCTGCTTTGCAATAATTAAACTCTTTCTTTCTTTTTCTTTTTTGAGTTGGAGTCTCACTCTGTCGCCCAGGCTGGAGTTCAGTGGCCGCTCCTGGCCACTGCAGCCTCGACCTGCTGGGCTCCGGTGATCCTTCCGCTTCAGCCTTCCAAGTAGCTGGAACTTCAGGTGCACGCTACCACACCCGGCTAATTTTTTATTTTTATTGTAGAGATGAGGTCTCGCCAAGTTGCCCAGGCGGGTCTCGAACCTGTAGGCTGAAGCAATCCACTCACCTCAGCCTCCCAAAGGCACGGGATTACAGGCTGAGCCACCAAGCCTGGCTTAAACTCTTTGATTACAACAGCTCAGTCTTGACTTTTCTGGGCAGCAGGCACAAAAAACCCAGGAGGCTGTAACAATGCTTTGTGTGTTTCCAGGTGTGTCACCATTAACGCCAGTTGGCAGAGATCAGACCTCAAGCACCCATCACAATATGCGTATATAGAAAAATTAAGAGAAAGAACAGTATATAAAAAGATAAAATAAGCCAAATCTAGAATGCTAAAAATTCTAACAGACACATGACTTATCACTTCAATTAATAACAATCAACACTGGTAAGTGGTACCTATAGGTTAACAGAGTTCCAAGACAAACCCACCAAAAGGTAAAGAATACATTTTGTATCCAAATTATAATTAGTATGCCTTCAAAAACACATTTTTTTAGAAAATTAATACCATTCTGCATAAATGTTTAAAAATATTTTTATTTTGTGTAAGAAGGTTATTGGCATTATAAAAATCTATGCATTTTTAGACATATTGTATGCTAAATAAAGTACGCATTAAATTATATTATGTCTGCGTTTATCAGTAAAATGATTCACTACTGTGCATGGGAATAGATGACAGAATAATTACTACAAATCATAATGAAAGTCAGAGGAGTTCAGAAAGTTCCACAAGAGTCTTATACTTTTGTATGTATTAGAAAATAGCCAGTACAAAAGATGTTTGTCCTGCTGTCAGTCATTTTATATGCTGAGAAAGCTGAATTTAAAAGGGTAGGAACACACACATTTATGTATCAAAACAAGAAAATGTACACTTTAATATGTACAGTTTAAGTCAATTATACATCAATTAAACTGCTTAAGTTACAAATACTCAAATTTTGTCACTCCTTAATCATTTTACTATGGTTAATGATTATCTACATACTTGAGTTGTTTGCAACTACTGTGTCAGTATGGCACAAACAGAATGGTGTGCTACTGGCAGCTCTTCACATCTCCATGCCAAGGACAAAATGGTCAACATGGTGAATCTCAGAGAAATGCAATTAAAACCACAGTGAGAAACCCTGACACAATTACTTAACAATGGTGAAAATTAAAAAGTGACTTTGCCAAGTATGTGAAGAAATTGGAACTCACATAAACTCCTGGTGAGAGTGCAAAAAAGGAATAATCATTTTATATCAATCTCCCAGTTTCTTAAAAGTTAAAATATTCACCTAACCCATGATTTAGGCATCGAATTCTGAGGTATTAAGAGAAACAAAAAAAAATCCGCATATAGAATTGCACATAAATGTCTATAGCACCCTTTTTCACAATATCAAAACAAGAAAAAATAACCCATACATTCATCAACAAATGAATGAATATACAAAGTTATATATCCATAGAAGAGATTGCTACTCAGAAAAAAGAATGAACTATTCGCATACGCATCACTCATGAATATCTAATTATGAAGCATGAATAAACCATAAGTAATACATACTTTATGATGTCTCAAATACAATTTGAGGAAATGCAAATTAATCTATTATAAAGGAATGTCAAAGATTGCCTGGAGGTCCTGGAAAAATATGCAGATGTTATCCTTATTATGATTATAATCATGTTCCCATGAGTTTACACTTATGTCAAAACTTACCAGATAGTATACTTTAAAAATGTACAATTTATTCCATGTCACTTATATCTCAACAATTTTTAAATGACTCAAATTAATAATATCAGTCATTGACACTTCAGAAAATCAGGGTTTAGTAAATCTCTATTGACTCAACCATCTAACTTCCCATACCTTGTAGGGGCAGCCTTGCCTCCGTAGCAGAAAACACAGGTGAGCAAGGAAGTTCATTTCCATGTGAGTTAAAAGGATTGTTGCTGGATCACAAAAGCCACTCCATAGACAACTGGATTTCCCTTTACTTCCTTTTATTGTCTGTGTAGCAATGGTCTTGAAGTAAACAGGCCAGCGAGGCTATAGACATCCATAAATCTTTTATTGACTCTGATGACTTGAGCTATAAAATATACATTTCTGAAAACTTCTGCACTCAGAGATCTCGCAGAGTCACAGTCACTAGAACCTGTGTGGCTTTTCCTTAGAAAAACATTTCATCTTTATTGATGCAGTCTCAGCCAACACTCAACCCAATTATGTTTCCCTCTAGTGCCAATAGTTTTATAACTAGTGACACTAGTCCACTGAATTGTTTCACAGGGCAAACAGCTACTTTGAAGGACCTCTGCAAGACATTCTAAACACTGTGAGGCCTTATGTGATATCCCCAAAGAACAAGAAAAACTTCATTTTTTCTCCAGAAGCACTGGAAGTTGTCACAGTTGCCTCTTCTCAAAATGATCTGAGACCATATACCTCTGTGATTCAGATAAAAAAAATAAGGGCCAAAAAGCCCTGCAGTCTCTCCCAGGAAACTTTGGTAGCAAGGCAAAACAGGTCAAAAATTGAGTAAGAGCTATACTTTGTCACCACATCGTCCTCTCTGAGGCACTCAAAATACAAATCTCTACAAAAGTTTTCACCTATCTTTATGTTGGTGAAATCCTATTATACTTTCACTCTACTCCACAGGAAACAGAACTTCCAAAATTAAAGGTATTCAAACATATCCCTGAAAAGAGTAGTCTTTTCAGTAAGTTGCCAGTAAAACTAGATCAGGTCCTGAGGTAACAATGGAGTGGAGTAGGTTCATGCATCTAAGTAGTAAGATGAAGGAATGAGAATATCCTAATAGCTGAGGCTACTCATGATTTCCTACAACTAATGAAAAAAGTTGGCCTACATGAGCACTTTGGGGTGGTAACTGACACAGACTCTACGGATCTCCCAAATGGTGAAAATGGAATAGCCACAAAAACTAGCAGTGATCTGCATCTGTTAAGATCCCTAGGCAGGTTTAAAGAGTACAACATAGCTACACATGCTTCCCACATGAGTGAGAGCTATACTCTGTCATCATATTGTCTAATACTTATGGGTAATACATGAATATTCAGATACATAAGATTCAAATCAGGAGTTCTTCCTGGAGGATAGCTTAAATGACCACTATACTAAGAAAAAAGCACACTCACAATGTATCTAAAGCCTTTGTACAAAGGGAATTCTTCAGTGTTAAATTTGACAAAATAATTTGCCACATTTACTGCACATGGGCTCTCCTGTGTCTTAATAGGCCAGAGTTTTGGCTAAAGGATTTCTCACAGTCACTGCAATCATAAGGTCTTTGACCAGTGTGAACTGTCTCATGTTGAATGAGGTAGTTTTTGCGGGTAAAAGATTTTCCACATTCATTGGACTGATAGGGTCTTTCTCCAGTGTGAACTCTCCGATGCTGAAGGAGGGCAGAATCTTGGCTATAGGATTTCCCACATTCACTGCACTCATACGGCCTTTCATTGGTGTGAACTCTTTGGTGTTGAATAAGGTAGGTTTTGCGGATAAAAGATTTCCCACATTCACTGCACTCATACGGACTTTCATTGGTGTGAACTCTCTGGTGTTGAATAAGGTGGGTTTTGCAAATAAAAGATTTTCCACATTCACTGCACTCATAAGGCCCTTCTGTGAGCCCTTGTGTTGAAAAAGTCCAGAGCGATGGCTAAACAATTTTCCACACTCCCTGCATTCATATGGCTTTTCTCCAGCATGAACTCTTTGGTGTTGAATGAGAATAGATTTCTGGCTAAATGATTTCCCACATTTACTGCACACATAAGGCCTTTCTCCAGTGTGAATCCTTTGGTGATGAGTAAGGTAGACATTGCAACTAAATGATTCCCCATATTCACTGCACTCATAAGGCCTTGCTCTAGTGTGTATTCACCTGTGTCAAGAGAGGTTAACACTATGGCTAAAGGATTTCCCACATTCAATGCAGTCATAAGGCCTTGTGCTTATGTGGGCGCTCCTGTGATGATGGAGATTAGTGTGATGGCTAAAAGATTTCCCACATTCATTGCACTGATAAGGCCTTTCTCCAGTGTGAACTCGTTGATGTTGAATGAGGACAGATATCTGGCAAAAGGAGCCACATTCATTGCAGTGATAAGGCTTTTCTCCAGTGTGAACTCTTTGGTGTTGAATGAGGTAAGTTTTGCGACTAAATGATTTCCCACATTCACTACACTCATGATTCTTTGCTCTAGTATGTGATCTTTTGTGTCGGAGGAAGCCAGAACTTTGACCAAAGGATTTCCCACATTCACTGCATTCATAAGGCCTTTCTCCAGAGTGAACTCCTTGGTGTTGAATAAATACAGATTTCTTGCTATAAGATTTCCCAGATTCAATGCACTTGTATGGCTTTCTGCTAGTGGGAACCCTACAGTGTTGGATGTTTCTGTGTGATCTCTCAATGTTGAGAAAAACTTGATGCTGGAGAAAGTCTGGGGTGGCTGGAAAGTCTTTCCTGACCTTCCCAAAGGTAAAGGGTTTCCCTGACACATGGAATCTGTAGTTCTTCATAAACAAGGCTTGGACCAAGTCCATTTTCAAAATTTTCTCATCACTTTCAAGTCCCAGGAGCTGGTAAAGGTCTATACTCAACCAAAAACCTTTTGATGCCCCAACCAAGCTTGATTTATCTCCAAGGTATGTGGCTTAGAGACCAGTCAGGTGTAAAATGTCTTTCAGGACTGGTATACAAATCTTACAGGAATGAGACTTCTGGATGAATGGACTTGCTTTTTGAGTCCTGACCTGTGACAGTCCTGCAAAAATGCTCTGCTCACAAGGCGCTTTCTCAGCGTCTGCCCCACACCAACAACCTGAAAGAAGAGAAATGCTGATGAGGCAGATGCAGGTTTACTGTGGTAGGAAGAATAAGTCCTATCAAAATTTGTGTCAGACATACCATGAATTAATCCATGGCAATGGTCTCAGAATACAAGAGCTAGTGACAATTTGAGAAAAGGGCCTCTAAAGGGCACACAAAGACAAAAGACACAAAGATGGGGTGCACTTCAAAGAGGCAGGTTTTTTTACTCAATCCTCTGGCAACAACCTTCATCAATACCTTGTTTTCTGATGACATGGGCAAGCCACACAGAGTTTACTTGTGCCCAGGTCCAGGAAAATCTAATAGTAACCAAATACTGGTATGCAAGGACTATTTAAAAACATGTACACATCTTGGCCAGATGTGGTGGCTCATGCCCGTAATCCCAGCACTTTGGGAGGCTCAGGAAGGAAGATTGCTTGAACTCAGAAATTCAAGACCATCCTGGTCAACATGATGAGTCCCTTATCTCTACAAAAGATGAAAAAAAAATTAGCTGGACATGGTGGTATGTGCCTGTAGTCCAAGTTACTCAGGAACCTGAGACAGGAGAATCACTTGAGTCCAGGATGTCAAGGCTACAGTGAACCAGGACTGTGCCACTGCCCTCCATCCTGGGTGATAAACAAAAACCTGTTTCAGAAAATAAAAACATGCATACATCTAATGGCACATTGCATGTGGGTCAGTGTTCAAGACAACAGTAGGTGGTTCACTAGAGGAGGAATGGGTGATGCATGGAAGCCAGAATTTGGGAGCAGCTAGGGGCTGGAAATCACAGATGAAATGACAAGTCAGAAAGTGTCTAGAATAAGGGGAAAAGAGAGAAATAAGGTGCATCCTATGGAATTGGCAGGGAGTAATCTCTAAGAACATTGGACAGGTTCATAGTAAGATTGGAAAATAGCCCTGTGTTTTCCCCTCCCTTAGATGTACCTCACCAAGGACAGATCTCCTTTGAGAGTATCTTGCTATGTTCACCTTGTGACGCAACCAGGAGGCATCCCCCAATCCTGGTTATGCAAGTACATAGGACCTGCATGATGCAGACCATAAAAGGAAAACCAGCTGGCACCGACACAGAGGAACTCAACACATGACAAACTATAGCATAAAAATAATGTACTAGAATATCTTGTAGCAGGGTCTTCCTGAAAAGCCTATGGACCAATTAAGTGATAAAATGACAATGCCTGCAACTCATGCCACAGACAAGCTGAGAAGATTTTAGCTAGAGAAAAAAGCACAACGTGGAACACAGTGGTGTCTGGAACTGGACATAGTCACCCTGTCACAGATAGGGCAAAGACAAAAAATTTAGACTAACAGGAAGATTCCTTATGCCCAGACCGTTCCCTGCAAGTCTGAAGGTACTAGGTGTTAAGGCAGTTTGGAGAGTGCTTTGCTCTAGGTAGTATACACAGCTCAGCACTGTCTCCCACAGGGCATATGCAAGAAACTGGGGAAGTCAGAAGAGCCTCAGGTCTTGGTGTAGAAAGACAAGGGCTGTCCCAGGAACAGGGGAAAGGCAGAGACCCACAAAGAACACTAGGAAGAATACGAGGGCCTTATCCAGGGATGCCATAAGTGCCAAGTTCTCCAGCATTACATTGCAGAATAGGAATCTCTGAGTCTCATCAAGGAGCTCCCACTCCTCCTGGGAGAAGAAAATGGCCACATCCTCAAAGGTCACAAAACCCTGTCATGATGGGACAGTTCATTCCATAATGAGCATCTGTCCTAGGACCCCAAGTTGACTCTCCCACATATCCAACCCCTGATCATCATTCTCTCCATGTCCCTACTTCAGAGAATACAACATGACTTGGTACCACTGATACCCACTATCTCCTCATGGTCCCATGGGTCATTGTGTCCTTCTTACAGCAACAACAAGCAGGCAGACAGATATCTAAGTTTTGAGCCCACCATGCAAGCAACTACCATCTCATCAACGAATTCCCCTGGAATCCTTCAGACCACAGCTCTGAAACACAACAAGGTGTCTGGGTTCACACTTCACCCTGATGTCCTCAATGCCAGGGCCCTTGGAACATCAGTTCACATTCCCTCTGCATGGACATATCATGCTTTCCCCCACACCTCTCTCACCCGACTGCACTCCCACAACCACCTGCACCCTGATCCCACAACACAGGCATCTCCTCTGCCTCCCTACTAGTTACTCAGCACAAGACATCCAGAAAGGGCTTACAAGTTCAAACAGGTTCCATGACTACCCAGATGTCTGATGATCCCCACTTTTCCAGGCAGCCCCAAATCCTGTTTTTATGGTGTCACAACCTGATTGTCCCTTGCTTCAACTTCAGCTGTCCAGAACATCTCAGGTTCACATGACCCTTTCCAACTTGCCCTGCTAAACAGTACCTAACTTTTTCTCGTGCTATCCTTCATTCAAATCCTTGCCCCAGTGTCTCTCTATCCCAGGTTCAGTGATTCTCCTAGATAACTACCTGTGCACCTAAAATGATCTACCTCCCTGATTGAAACTCCCAGACACACCAACAGTAACAGAGAAGTAAATAAGCATTAGACCTGGTCTCAGTGTCACCCTGTCTAAATTACTTCTAGGCCTCGATGTCCATCTCATATTTACTCATCCCCAAGGAGTCTTCATCATCTGCTGTGTTAATCTCCCTCCCATCCTGTTCTTAATGCCATTTCTCTCTGTAACCTCAGTTTGTGACATCAACTACCTCCATCATGGCTCCCACTCCTTTCTTTCTTGGCCTGGTATTAACATTATCATTGTAATCAGGATTGCCTCCAAATGTGACTCATATTGTTATAGGCAAAATGTTTCTGCCTGCCCCAAAATTCCTATGTTGAAGAACTAACACAATGAAGTCTCATATAACATGACAGTATTTGAAGATGGGGGTCTTTGAGTGACTATATTTTTCCGGTATTAAAAAAAACAAACAAACAACAAAAAACAAACAAAACCCTTAGGATGGGATTAGTGTCTTTTAAAGAACGGAAACAATGAGATTTCTTGCTCTCTCCACACGCTCCTTTCCCAGCAAAGGTCATGTGAGACCAAGCAAGAAGGCAGTCATTGCAACAAAGGAGCAGATCCTCACCAAGAAGTGAATCTATAGGCATCTTAATCTAAAATTTCCCAGTCTGTAGAACTGTGAGAAACAAACTTTGTTGTTTAAGCCACCAATGTACAGTATTTTATTATTAGCTCAAGATAACTAAGACACACAGCTTCATCCTAGTCCCATACTCTGAAACATCTCATACCTTTAACATGGACAAAACAAACTCCTGATATCCTGAATTGAAACTTCTCCTACTTTATACTTAACCTTCCTAGTAGATTGAGCTTTTATCCTTCCAGTTGCAAGACCCAAAACCTCAGTCATCCCTTTTTCTCTCGCATCCTCAGCATCAGAAAGTCAGACCAGACCTACAATTCAGAACTCAACTATTTATCTACTACATCGTGGCTACCACTGTTGTCTCCACCACTGACACACCTGGCTACTGCAGTAGCCTCCTCTCTGATCTTATTACCACCTCCCTCACACCCACGGTCTGTTGCCTGTGCTCAGTGACAGGGAGCCTGATGAAGCCCGGGTCAGACCACCTTCCTCCTCTGCTTAAAGCCCCCACAGATCCCGTCATCTCTAGAAGACTCCAAACATCAGAAAGAGCCAGCTTCAGGTGTGACTCCTCTCCCTCTGCTCTCTGTTCTCTTGAGAAAGAAATGAGAGGAGGCTCCCTGAACCAGGTTAGCCTCACTTCAAAGCATCTCCAAATACTTGTACCTCTGGGACAAACTTTCACATCTCATTCTATTATTTGCCAGTAATATGGGGTTCCATCCCATATAACCCTCACCCTGCACTCAGGACCTTGGGCGTAGGATTGTTCTGGGTTCCCAGGCCCAATGCCTGAAAGAGTGGCAGGTGACGGGTGCGAGGACACCACAGTCCCAGAGATCACATTGCTGAGATCAGTGAAGTTCTGGACATTCTCCACTCACCGTTCCGGGGTTTGTAAACTCTTCAGTATTAGAGGCAATCTGTGGGAGGCAGGTGATTGCTATAAGGCTCCATGGGTTCCAGGCTCCCCAATTTCCTTGCCCAGCCTAAAGCCAGGTGACCTGGGACCACTGCATTATCTCTGCTTCTCAGTCTTTGATACTGACGTTTACCAGCTATGTGACCTTATACAAGGATTAAGTCCCTCTGTGCCTATCATCATACCCCTTCAGTCTGTCACTAGAGTAGGTTTTGTGAACTTTTTAAAACCTCCCTGAAGGGAGAGAGCTCTTGTGTTCACAACGCCAAAACCCCCAGTGTTCTGGAAAATAGCAGTGGGCCAGTACAGGAGCGGGTCTGCCTCACGTTGCCTGTTCCCTACACACACACGACCTGGGTTTCCCGAATCCTCCCGGCTGTGGCGCACCTCTGAACCTTTCCACGTGCCGGTCCCTCTGCCACATTCCCACTTTCTAACGCACTGTCAGAAATAAGAACCCCACCCACGAGAAGCTCTCTGTCCTGGATACAGAGGCCCGGGCTGCAGAAAAGGGTTCAGGTGCCCCTAAGCAGAGTTTCAATTTTTAAATGGGGTGAGGGCGGCCGAGGCCAGGAGGACGCAGTGCTTACCTGAGCAGGGTCCCTCAGTGCGGCCGTCGCCATCGGACTCTGTGGGCGGGGCGGGGCCGGGAGGGACTGACGATGTGGGCGGGGACCCGGGCAGAGCCGTCGCCACCGCCACCCACCCTCAGAGCCCCGCTGCACAGCTGGGACGACGCCCCTGGCGCCTTCTTGGAACCCGTTTGTCGGCCCAGAACCACCGCGGTCGGACAAACCCGAGGCAAACCAAAATGCCCGCCACTAAGGAAGACACCAGAAATCCCGCCCAGACAAATTGGGTCGGGCGGAAATGTCCTTTCCCTGGGCCTTCTCCGGCTCAACGCCAAGGCCGCCTGGCGCACGGTCCTTTGGGTAATGTAGTTCTCACCGCTCCCCAGGTCCGCAGAGGTCGCCCTTCAGCTGGACCTCCGGTGGAATACCCAAGTGCTCTGGGAAAGGTGCAGGGAAACCTGGAAAGTGGTTTTTTCAGACTCCAAGAACCAAGGAGGAGCTTTGCTCATTTTTTTAAGGCGCCTTACAGGGATTTTTGGGAAGTATTTTCTGTAACTGATCCCTTGAGTAGAGATATATTATTTCAAGGTCCTTGAACTGCATGCTCCCCAAAGCTATTAAGTATTAAATCAGGTGCTCCCAATGAATATAAATCCAAGGGGACATTTCATCCCATAACGTCCTTTAGACAGAAGATGCATTTCCGTTTAGCTGGAACCTAATAAACACCTTTTTTTCTCTTCAAATGTACTTAGCATGGAACATTAGAGTCAACTTTCTGAGTTTCATTATGCTTGTAATTAGAATTAGAGAAATAGACTCCATATAGGGCCACGACGGGAGAAAGATAAAAGAGTATCAGGTCGCCCTGAAACAGGAGAACAAAAGTGGAGCTCTGTCTCTGGTTCCCTCAGAAAATACTTTTCTGAAGACTATAGACACTGTCCTGTTTCAAAATGGCTTTTATTAAGTGGTTCTTCTTTTCAGAAAGTTGCCATAATCCTAAAAGGAATATATTTAAGAAAATGAAATAAGAAATATTACATGGATAAAACACTGTTCCTCACTAGGTTAAACACAATCACTGACTACACTGTCAGTGTGTATCAGGCAACGAATCTATTATAGTTACAATGCTAAGAGGAGTTAGAATTCAGCAAAACAATGTTAAAATTTTGGCCAGTCTGAGACTTTTGTCTTACAATGCTCATCATTTTTTCATTTATGAAAACATCGATCAAAAATAGCTTGGGGCTAGGCATGGTGTCTCATGCCTATAGTCCCAATACTTTGGGAGGTGAAGACAAGAGGATTACTTGAGTCCAGGGGCTCGACACCAGCCTGGACAACTTTGCGAGATGTCTTCTATACAATAAATAAAAAATTAGCTGGGTATGGTGATGCCTGTAGTTGCAGCTACTTGGAAGGCTGAGATGGAAGGACCGCCTGAGCCCAGCAGGTCAAGGTTACTGTGGCCATGATCCTGTCACTGCACTCCAGCCTGGGCGACAGAGTAAGACTGACTCAGGCAAACAAAAAGGTTGGGGAGGGGGGTTGAAAGGATAGTTAAAAAGAACATTTAGGGGTCTGCCGTGCTGGGCCGGCTTCCGGGTCCGCGGCCAGGTGTGGGCGGCGCGTGCGGGACCGTGGGACTCTAGCAGTGCACAAGGCGGAGCCCACAGACTTGTGGCGTCGGTGTCGCGGCTGACGCTGTGACTGCACCCCGAGCCTCCGACTTTGCCCGGATTTACACGCATCGGTGGATGAGGCCGACCTGAGAGGAGCAGCCGGTCTCTCGCCTGCCTACTGTGAATTCTCTCCAGTTATACTGAACTCTTGAAAGGCAAGGACCAAGTCTTCTCAGAACCCCTCAAACTGCTGGGAGGACGGCCCTGGAGTTTGCCCTGCACCAGTCACCGCTGACCCCTGGTTACCTGGATTAAGTCTGCCCGGTTTAGAGCGCTGGCCGCCACCTTCAGGAGGACTTCACCTTCTCCTGGGCTCGGCTTGGCCACCTGCTTCAGTCTGGAAGCTAGAAGAGAGTAGACCAGTACTGACTAGAAGAAAAGGATTGCAACCCAGTAATTGTATACCCAGTTAAGATATAATTAATTGGAGACGGGGCAAGATGGCGACGGCATAGGTGAACTGGTGAGATTCTCTGAACGTG